TCACCATTTATGTAGGTATATACCGTGTTATTTAAATAGTTTTGTATGAATTTGAATTTGGTTAATATTAATAAAAAAAATACTCAACTTATCCAATATTTAAAGACGATAATAAAAGTTTACGCTAAAATAATTATTGTATAAATTCAWTGTTATGCTGTTAACAATATTTTACTGTGTAATATTATTTTTATGGCTTAAGTTAGTTTAATAAGTAATCGATGCGCTGAACATAATATAAATGATGAAATWGGAAATTTGTTAAAARCTAAATTATTGAAATACTATACAAGTAAATATTTAGATTAAAATGAAATGTGTCTCATTAAAATATAGTAATAATATAATGATTAATTATTATTGCTATTAAAAATCTGCGTTAACTTTTTGAGGGTTGAAAAAAAACTAAAAGATCTTTTAGTACTAAAAAAGTATTCCCTGGTGAATTTATTAAAATCAAAACTTTCACAGGTATAATAATTTAAGTTTAAAAATTTAACTAACTTAATTTAGAAGGAATAATTTACTTCTTTGAGTTTWAAATATACTTTGCGGTTACCAAAATAATTAAATTAAAATATATAAATAGGAACCTATATTATCCGAAAATACATTTTATAATAATGTGATAAGTTAAGAAATTTATATTATTTGAATGCTTAAAACTAATACACAAAGCTAAAATCATTTTTTTTTTTTTTTTATTTATATATATTATGTTATACATTTTAGAAAATTGTTTAGCAGAATTTACTTTTTTTTTTTTTTAAGTACGAATACATTTAAAAGTTTAGGAAGTTTAAGTTGGAATCCATACAAATAGTTACTTGACACCGATCGTACTACGATCAATACGATATGGTCCGACGATTATAAAATCTAATAGTACATCATATTATATAATTTTATAATTATTTATCAATACTGTTTAATACTTCCGCTACCTTTCGTGTATGCTTTTCTACCGTTGACATTTTTAAAAACTTATCGATTCCCGTTTTCGTGGTCGGTCGAGCTCGTATATATATATATACTATTCGAATACCTAAATTTGTTGTATGGTTTCGAATTACATAGTAAAATACATATTATTACAATATTATTCAAAAAGATCAATAACTATTTGTTCTCAAGAGAAATTATTCCAATTTTCGTGTTTTAATAATATTTTATGACATTTTCTAGATGCTGCCATACGAATGGCCGCTGGCTGTGGTCTGCGCCTTAATGATATTTTGCGGTCTGGTACTAGCACGATACGGCGTGTATTGGCAGAAGCGGTACAAAGAGGCTAAGTGGTTAGGAGACACTGGCTGGGAGTCGGGTTGCAAAAAGGGTGTGTTGGTCATTGCAATTCAAATGCTTCTACTTATGTTAGGGTGAGTACGTCACCCGTAAACAAAACCAACGGATAATTGTTGTTTGTTATACAGTTAATGTTTATTTGTGTCAATTAATATTTGCTTGACGATAATTGTAAGCGATTATTACTATTATAGAGCAAAGTGGACAATAATAGGTATTATGGTATTATACGTTTATGTTTTTAGATTTGTATTTTTCAAATACAACGTTAAAACGATAGGATTAAAAATTATTATGATCCTTCTACAGATTTTAAAACCATACACTGCAGATCGTACTCTAAAGAGGCCACTTATATGAACGTTCATAATAGTTTCGAAATAATTTGAAAAATAAACCACAAATAGTATTGGTAATTGGTATTGAGTTTTTCTTTTTCCATTAAAACTATCAACTTTTAAATTGTTTAATAAAACTTATATTGATTTATTTTGATATAATATAAAATACGTATAAGAAGCAATGACTATTGTATTTATTACTAACGAAAAATATATTTTATAATATCGTTTAATGAAAAAAATGTRGTCATTGTTTTTCATTCTAAAATAATAGGCCCGCTTACCCAACTCCAGGTCGAGTCCACGAGATGAAGTCTATATATTTGGGACTATGKGAGTAAAACAACTGTTCAAGGTTTATCGGAATTTGTGAATGAATGGAAACGTTTATAACGACCGGACTATTGAACATCACATTTATTGTAATTTTTTTCTTTTTTTTTTATCAAAATCCGAACTCTTATACTTCTACGAAAGAAAGCCTTAAATTCAGCCCATTGAAATTTCTATGGTAGGTAGTCTATAATATGTGGTGACCTAAAGACGTACGAACTCATGACACTGGCTTCTATATCTATTTGTCCGTAATAAATCGTTTCCTCTAACACCAGTAGTGCACCCTTTCATTAATTTTGTAAACGGTGTATTAATAAAGCCTGCAGTAATGGTCGACGACACTCGACGTACGCGTTTTATCACAAAAAAGCAACAAACTATATGTCTTGTTATGTAAATCATTTTTKATCGTTTTCTTAAAAATTAAATTGGTTGTTAAATCCATTACTATTTTTAATCGTTATACACATATATTATTATATAATAATATTATATAATTACTTACGCGAGTATTATATATGTCTAATAGAGTTTCGACCAACTACATAATGTATTTAAATACAGTTTGGTGTTAACCTGCAATTTCAAATAAATGATTCACTTCCACTGTTGGTGTTATCACCACATTTCTATACCAAAATAATTATTTATTTAAAGTCCCCCACCGATGTGCATAATTTACGATGGGTACAGCTGTGTATTAAAGTGACTATATAGTGATAAGTTTACTTGATCGCAGGGAGACGTTAGCCTAACCTAACTATGGTGGTGTAATTATTGTACTACTATATGTCTTTGAATAGTTAAACAATGATTTTGTCTTTTTGTGATCACAGTCCCTCAAAATAAAAATAATATATTACGTTGAAGAATCCGGCTCGTGTATGCAAAAATGTTTAAGATATACATAGAAGCATTGCACACACAACGTCACCATGGAATGCGGAACTGTGTTATTCCTGWGTAATATCCAAGATCTGAGACCTCCATTTCAGAAATTTCTCAGAAGTCTCCCGAAAATAATACAAAATACCTACCGTTATTTAGCTTTTAACAAAACATCGACATTGCCATATCCTTCTATCTCGTCGCTATACTCTCTTCGCTATACTAAATCACCAAGAATTCATTTGTACATTGAGATATGTACTTACGTATAATGACTAAATAAATAGTATATTAGCTTTAAACGAATATTATTATGGTCTGAGAATACTCCCGTTTTATCAAAAGAAAATTTTTTTTCCAAGATTTTCTATAGTAAAATTACTAAAATTGCAAATAGATAAAAGTGTCACTAATGAGCAACTCATTTTTTCAAGTTTTCGTGTAAGATATTAAAAATTAACAAAATAATAATGTATTTTATATTGTAATTAATGATTCTACTTTAAATTGATTTTATAATTTTATACGYATACCGCTGTATCTTTATACATAATTATATATGATTTACGTCAATGATCAATGAAAATCATTGACAGGTAAACACGTTAGACACTATACAGTATAACAATTTGATTGAATTCCTTATTTGAAGTGACACTATAAATAGCAACGAATAATTGTATTCAAATAATTTGTGTATATAATAAACAATCAAACAGTTAATCACAAAAAATTATTACCTATACATAATATACAGTAAAATTCTTAAAAAATTAATTAATGTAATTTTTTTATTTAAGCTTCAACAACTAAGGTTATTAACATTAATAAAGATACATTGATATATTATATAAGGTTGTAAAGTTTAGCTTTTTGTAAAAATGTTGTAATGCTGCTGTAGTGCTGTAGTTTTCAAGATTGGATCCAAGTGCTTCATATAGATGATCCGGAATGTTTAGAGATGTTCTGGCATCGGCGTAGTAGCGGCAGTGTAAAAGGATGTGTTTAACGGTAAGACCTTCCCCACAGGTTAAACAATGGGCAAGGTCTTCACGTCTCATGAGAAAAAGCTATGTGTGAGCCACGTATGCCCAATTTTGAGTCTATTGATRATGACTTCGTGACGTCTTTTGGCGATGGGTGCTGACCAAAATTATTTTGATAGAAATTCGTTTTCGATTTCGTTCAATTTTGTCTGTGACGATGTCCAACGTAGTTGCCATTGTTGCAATGTAATTTTTTATTTATCTGGATCACGCAATAATTCTAATCGTATTGTAATACTTATAATTTCACCTATATTTATTTTTAGTTGGTTAAATAAATTATTTTGTTTCGCTTTAAAAATTTAAGATGACTGAAGAAACATATATATAATATTCATATAATATTWTATAAMATATGYTTTTTATTTCCARTAAACACATTTTAGTGAAGTAAAAGTGCTTTAAAATTGAATTGTTGTCTAAATAAATAAAAATCACTTTAAAATCAATTAACATTGTTTTAAAATTTCACTTCAGTATTATTTTTACGATGTAAAACTTCTATGAAWAATGACTTAAATTCGCTAACATTAAACATAATATGTGTTTCAGATAATTAAACMTATTTTTACGTWCGTGGATYAACTATTTATTAATACACGAATTATTTGTACGCATAATTTATAATTTTATTTCGACTAATCGAATAATTTCACGTTGAGACACAAAACTAAATCCTTTCGTTTTTAAGCTTGTTCAATCTTCAATGCATTAGAACATAAAGTTCAATAAGAAATATCATTAATATATGTGGTTATATAGTTTCATCACATTTCTTATATAGTTACTTTTCAAATTCGAAATTTCTTATAAATCATATTAATTTTCACATTTGTAACTAAATATTATTTTATATAAAAAAAAGTTAGGTTCTTACAATCAATATCTTAGCTGTATAATATATACATATATCAAAAAAAACGTTATGTTATATTATTTATACATATATTATGCGAAGTCTAAGAATTCTTGCGGACTTCAGAGGGCGAAACTATAATAWAGGTCCTATAAAATATTCTGTACTAAAACGAGTGATGAGTGTTGGAAATGTCGTATGTTAGTGAAAACAGGAATTCCACCTTTTAAATACTTGGCGTAATAAGACTGTACATTAAACGGGAAACCGGATTTATGGTGTAAATATTTCGTGTCCGGGAAAAAAATACGACCGTTATAAAGTTCACGAAATGAGTTCAACTGCTCTGAGAGCTTTGTACAAATCAACTCGGCAATTATATTCTATAATTGGGCGGTGCAGTTTAATTTTATTTATGTCTTTCGGTGCGTTTAAAATTCCCAATACTAATACCGTACCTACTTAATTATTTATTATGAATTCAAATTACGTGCATATATTTAGAGCCGGCGCTTGCGGACTGTTGGTGACGAACGAGACCATGGGATCTGCTGTATCAAGTGTAGGAGACCTAATAGAATTTGGTGTCGGTGATTTGGTAGACATGTTCTCCATAACTCAAAAACAGATCAGAACCATAACTGTCGGATCAATGGATTCCACGACCGATGCGGTTTTCACGAAATTAGACGGTATGATAATATCTAATACTACAACCTAGCTATATTATAATGATTCATACAATTTTAGTTCAATAATAGCGTATACAATAACAATATTATATCTGCTTAATTTATAAATGTTATAAATAATACATAAATTAATTGAAAAATAATCATCAACTGATATTAGATGAAAATGCAGCAAACTAACTAAACTTTATTGGAAATAAATAAGTGTAGAAACAAAATTCATATTAAAAATTAATTGTGAATAATATATTATAATATTCATTATGGAGACAAATAATACCACAAAAAATATTGCTATTGGAGTCATAAACAYAGAATAACCAAGCATATAGAAAATAAAAAGCATCTTTAAATATGCTATATAAATATTAATTGAAATATTCGGATAAATAATGCAAGCCCGTTTATACATTTTATGATGTAGTTGACATCTAATMAGTTATAAAAGTAATATTAATTATAGTTAATAAACTTCGTCGTTTTTATCCAGATGATTAATTTAGTTTGAAACTACTTAAAAACAAAATTTAAACAATATTATGATTTTTCTACAGTAATAATTATAAATTACGTAAAGGATCTTTCAACCCATTGATATTTTGGTCCTTTTTATAAAAATGTGGATATCCTCTTTCAAGATTCCTATTTCCATTTTGAATTCGTTGAAAATTTTACTTTACAACAGACTTGACAATTTTTACGTAATTCAATTATATGTCAAAAATATTTAATTTTAATGGATAACAATAATAAATAGGTAATTAATAAAGAAATTATAAACGTCTTCCAATCGTTGCAAAATATACTTGTCTTAAAATAATTGCTGCTTATTATTGCTTATATTTTATATTTATAAATTGGTATAGTTCCGTCGCCCAAATCACGTAATATCCCAATGCATACAGCGAATATAAAGTTTTAACGTTCATTTTATGAAATATACAGTCCATTATTACAATAAATCATTGGACATAGAAATATTGTTGGTTAGATTACAGTATTACACACTAATATGATTATTATTATTTACATTCACAGTTCAGACAAAAGTATATCACACCCGCTCGAACAAATATTTGAATGAGGAACGCTAAATATTAAATAAAAATAAATTCGCTATTTTTTAAATATTTTGTATTAGTTGSAGTTATATTTTCATTCACATCATATGCTAATTTACAATAATATTATAATTAGTGTAGTATTAAATTTATAATTCGAAAATTTAAACTTAAACTTGTATGTTTATTCCGGCCGATCATTGTTSTTCTTCTTGCCATTCGTTTTCATTTCAGTCTATGTTATATCATATTCCAATATAGATTTAAAAATGGCTTATTTTATTGATGGGCGGCAATGGTAATTTTTAAGTAGAGAGATAATCTAAATGGATAAACTTTGACGTCACTTCTAATTATTTCTATAGATAATTTTATAAGATATATATATATATATATATATATATGGCTGTAGGGCATAAAATTAAATTACCCGTCCCAATTGTGTATACTTTCCCCCTTTAATCTATCATCTTAAACAGATTCAATATTAAAAGTAAGTTTTTTCGCTCGATTTTGACATTTTACGACTTTTCAGTTTTATAACCCTTTGATAATAAAACGTGCTATGTTTAACAAGTAGCTTCCATTTTTTTCCATTTTCTCTTTATGATCAATTACAAAACGGCAACTCTTAAATTCCTGGTTACTTAATTTGTTGATTTTATAAGCTATTTATAGAAACTTTTTTGCATTACATTAATAGAAAACGATTATTTTTAATTAAAAAAAAWTATTAATACTTACCATTTCAAACTTATTTTACCTAATAAAATATAATTGCATTCGAGTGAAAATTTGTTAAATAAATAAATAAATTCATTTAAGAATTACAAAAGTGTATTGCGATTGATAGAAATTAAAATACGATTTGAAAAAAAAATGTCCATGGCCATTGAAATGCATTAACTGTACTTTGTTGATGACTAAACTTAATCACTAAAAATATACAGAAGAATAAAGAATGTCACCCTTTTTTCATCAATAATGCAACTGTTCAATATTTGATTTTTCGAGTTTTTAAATATACTTAAATACCATCCTATATTAAACGTATTGCCATTTTTCATTTTTGTATTACCTAAGGAGTGTATCGAGCAAATGAAACACTCTATTTCTACTGTAATTTATTTAGTAGATAKTTTTTCTGAAAATTTTAGGAAGTCAAAATTAAGACTTGAACAGGTAGTTTTTATTTATTTAAATTTGTGTACTAAGGATCAKGTTCATGGGTGTATTCAAAAATTCTAAAACTCAGAGAACTAATAAATTCATTATTGAAGAGAAAAAAATGGGAGTGATCCGTGCTTGGTGAATAATCTTGTGTGTATCTTTTGATTAAGTAGGTCATGCGGAAACTTTCAACGCCTTTTCTGAAAACTCATGTAGTTTGAAGTCATCAATAATAGTATCAATACAGTGATATTTGCAAATATTTCTCATTAAATCTCAAGGGGCATATCATAAAATTGATTTGAGTATATTTTTTTAATTACACCTTAAATTWAAAAAAAATACATCACAGATGATAAGATATAAATAAAAACGCAGTAGGTACATGACATTAATAATAATAATATAATAAAATATTTTAGTTTGACGATGAATAGTTGTACTTGAATATTTTCCTCAAGTAGGTKGTATTCTATGTCAACTCCTATTAGAAAATTGTGGTAAATACGTGGAGCAGTTATTAATAATATTTGTTTTCATATTTAAAATAAATTATAATCATGTATAATTATTATGCATTAGATATTTTAATTTAATTTTATAAAATTTTTCTTACAATTTATAATTAATTCGTTGAAATTTATAAATAAGCTTAATTTTTAATTTGTAGGTAACCTATACATATTATTTTTATATAGAATGTTCAAATTAATTATTCATCTCCTGAACATTTACATTAAATCAATCAAATAAAGAACAAATATTTTTGATTTTTTTTTGTTTTTACAATGTTCTATTTAATCTGTTGCAAAAAAGAACAATAAAAGCAACTGAGATAATAGATATTAATAAAAACAAAAATTATAAATTTAAATTATTTAAAGTATAAAGATGTGAAAGTTAAAATGTCTTCCTAATCACACAATTTTCCTCTGTTTATTCGATAAATCGATAAATATGGCTATACTATAGTAGCAAAATTGTGTGTGAACTATTTCATACATGTATTGCACAATAATATTGTAGGTACATAAAGTGTAAAAAATAACTTTTTATATACACCAAATCCAGCATAACTATTATATGGGTATTTCACAAAAATTATTATTATTATTTTTTTTAATTGCATTAAAGATATAAAACGTGGAATATTTTTCTTATTGAATAAAATTACCTTGTAATATTAAAGTTGTAATTCAAAATAAAACTGTGACAGTCACTGGAGTTTGGTTAATCTGAGCAATTCTTTTTATAATGTTTGAAAAAATTTCATACATTTGGAGTAAGTAAAATAAGAAAATAAAATGTCATATGTTATAAAAAATATGGAAAAAAAACCCTTCGTTTGTATAATAAAACAATACGTAGTCCATAAACAAAATACAAAGCGTAAAAGATTAACGATTGGCGTATACTTAATGAGGCGAGTACTCAAAAACATGAAATACGTCTACTGTTTATATTTATATGTTAATTTAATTTGTTTATAATCTGCGTCCTCCTGCAGTAATTTAGTGGTCTACAAATCGTTCTTTTGATTTAATTGTGTAGATTCTCTATTACAAGGATTCGTACTTAACCAACCAACATAAGTAGACCATGAAGAACTAAGAATGTAATTATTTACGAGCTTTATTCTTTGAAATATCTTGATAAAGCAAAATAGGCTTTCTAAACAGCTTTATAATAAATAATAATACAATTACATAAGCCGATACATAATAATTTTATATCTAACTTACTTAAATATAATATCTACATGTAAAAAAATCAATAACAGTTAATTTTATATGTATATTTTTATTTTTTTAATTCATTTATTTTGTTTTTAGACATAGCAGAGCAATTAGGAGGATCAATCGAAAATGATATATATGGTCCTAGTCATAGATTTGGTTCAAGGAACAATGTTTCTAGAGTAGTTCARGGTGATGATTGACCGTTACTCATACAATATTATTATAATCTGTAGGAATAATGTTTGACTAGTTGTATTTTAGACTTTCAGAAGATATTTCCAAAAGCAAAGGATGTAATTTCCCAAGCCGAATTAGTCAAGGAAGACATTATTAAGTACAACAAACAAATTATTGAATTGAACGTTGAACTTCAAATGATACCCGAACGATGCCCTCTTGAAGTTTCAGCCATGTGTGATATGATTTCCGGTAACAAGTTGCAACCAGAGAATTATAGGTACTTGGTGAGTAAATACTACGTCATGGAAGTTATTGGCGTATTACCGTTCTTATTGATGATTGTTTACTGTTCACAGGATGATTTGATAAATGAAGTCAGAGGCGTTTTGGAAGTAGAAAATGATGGGCTATCGAGTTTGCCATTGACGTCAGCTGAAAGTGCCAACATTCCAAAGGCTCTATTCGAACAGACGGAAAAAGAGCGATGGCGTAAGTTAAATTACCGTTTACTGCAGATTATAACGTCTTTATAAGTTATAACCACTATGACTACTTAAATAAATGTATAATAAATATACCTATTATTGTAAATTAATTATAATTAAATTTTAAGGATATTAAAAAAATTTAAAATAAGGATRTAATAATTAATAGGATATAMCTACGATGTTTTTATTACTTAACTGTAAATGTTAATGACTTATTTATAATCATTGGTAAATAAAATACTGGTCAACTYTTTTGTTGTTCTAGCAAGTAAATACGATGAATTATAATTTATAGTAGTTTAGAATCTAAAATTTAGATGACATTTTTAATAAATTAAAGTAAATTGTGTTTAATTCAAATTGTGCCGAATATTAAATATCATCTTATTATATTTTTACTTAATTTCCTTAAATACCTACTGAAATTTATTAATTATTACTATCAAGGTATAAAACAAGCTTTGATGGATCGCAGACGTCAATTAGAATTCTCAATATATCCTTATGAAAGTCATACACGTAAACTCGTTTCAAAATTAATGGACATGAAAGAGACAGCTAACAATTACTTTATGAAACTGAAACAAATAGAGGCGTATAGATGGTCCATCAGTGTTGGTAAGCTATATTTGTTATGTAAAATATACTTTTATTGTAATATAATATTATGTGCTACATACATAATTGACACAAATTTTTATGAGTACCGTATAGGAATAGCAATCGCTGCACTTTTAGTTTGGATTTTATTAGCATGCAGTATTGTGGTAAATTATTGTTCGCACACGACTTGGGCAAAATGCTACTTCTTTGGGTAAGAAAACTTAAATTTAAACTTTAAACCTGACAAAAATAACCTTACATTAGGTGTGTTCACCTTTGGCCAAAATACATTATGCATGTTATGCATAAGTAAAATATTTTTTTGAACATGAAATWWTAATTTTGTATTATGTCAGTTAATTTGTAATGATAAATTTAATGACATATATCATGTTCCGTTTGAATATTGAATGTTAAATATATACATATTATTTATGTCATAATACAAAATGAGAAAACTCGAGAAAGAATAAAATAAAACACAATGTAAATTAAACATCGATTAAATAACTTATACTACATCCTTGAAAACRTTTACAACTTTTAACAAAGTTTAATACTATTGATTACTACCAATCACTTATTCAAAGTCTTACAGAAATGTGAGAAATGTATACGTATAATGATTAATGATGAACTATACTAAAGGTAATGTGTTAACCACGTTTCAATGATAACGATTTAAAATTATCTTCCCGAACGTATCTGCACAAGAATGGTATAATAGACAAAATTAAAATTAAGACCAAAAAAAAATAAATATATTTGAGTAACACAATATGTATAACTGGCGATGGATTATGGCTATTATATGTATAATGTGATAAAATGGTGTATTGTAAAAGATACCTATATAAATATATATATATATATTTTTTTTTTTTTGAAAAAAAAAACATTTAGCTGCGTGAGCACAATGAGATTGACCAGTTTAGCACTTTGGTCAGCGGCATTAGTGGGTTTGATATTAAGCAGCAACGGTGAAGTAAATATTTGTAGACCATTATATGACGAACCTATGTACGAAACTGTAACAAAAATAATGGATTGTCCGGCTATAACAAATGAACGTGGATTCTTTTCTTGGTTCATTTTTGGAAATGAAACATCCACGGCTCCGTTCAATGAAGTCATCGAGTAATTGAATTTACTTTAATTAATTATAGAAATAAATCATTATTTGGCATGTTTGTACTTATCTTGGGGTTCTTCTCCGTTATTTTAGATCGTGCAGAGAAAATCTTACAGCGCACGCAACATTTAATTTAAATAAAGTGTTTAACGTTGACGCTAGTTCAGATTACAACAAATGGCCAGGTCTTATGGATGCTCTAGAAAGTCTCAAAACCAAAAGGGTCCGCGTAGAATTGGACTTAAACAGACCACCGTCCACAACTGATGCACTGAGACCGATTGCCGAATCAACAAACTTGGACTTTGAAAAGTTTCGAAGTCTCGTAAGATTTATTTACACACAACTATACAATAATCCATTCTTTGTGCTTGAATATAAGTTTAAAATCTAAGACACACTGATAAAAAATATCCTAAAAGTAAAAGAATAAATGTACCTATATATTTATATAATGTCCTTAAATATAAAATAATTTTGTTACCGTCTACTTCCTACTCGTGATTAATGCTAACAACATAAAATCTTCAATATCCATTTTCAAGTCATTTCTGTTCATTTTAATTTAGCCCTTTGTAGCCGATAAGTGTAAAATCATTTTATTACTATTTGTTTAAAATTATGTCTTAAGTCATATCGATTCACGTACGACATGGKCACATGGCCTCAATAATTTAATTACATTTTACAGATTTTGGAGTCTTCTTTGGCTCTTGGTCGCGTGACTTTGCTACGCGATCAACTCCGTGCACTTTCAACACAAGCCGCCACCTTCTCTAATATGTTTAAAATGACATTGAAGCGCGTAGTGACAAATATTACAGATTTAGTCGAAAATGTGATGAGCCCAATGAGTCAGAAGAAAGTGAGAAGTATTTCTGRGTGTATAGATCAACTATCGTTTGGTTGATTACTCTCAAATCCGTGAATAACTATACTCTGTTCTAGAATATGTTACTATATCATTTAACATTAATGGAAGTCGAAATGCAACCGCTATCGGAATCTTTAAATCGGACCTGGGCAAATGCATATACTAGAATAGAAAATTCCGATTTTGATCAAATACTGCAAAAGGTTAAAATATTATAATTAATAATCTTAATAATCGTATAAATGCTTTGTTATACATAAATATTATAAAAACGCTGTATAATGAATATGATATTTATTTTGTAAACTTTTGATGGTTTTTACTTTTAAATAAGACTAAACGTCAAATTATTTCGTTCGAATAGATTATAGTACCTCACTGCACTTAAATATTGATTGAGCAAGTATTGAATATTGTGAGAAACGTTTATCGATAAAAATAAAATGCGTATTATTATATAATAATATTATTCACTATAAATATGAATTTTACATAGTTTTGAAACTAAAATATATAATTTTTTTTATTATTATTTTAAAACGTATACTGTTTTAGAATATGGCTCAATACACAAACAGTTTAAAACTGCTGTTGGACAAATATAAGGTTCACGTAACTGAAGCAGTAAAAAYAGAAGCAGCATCGTGCAGGCCCGTATGGAATGTGTATCGAATTGGAAGAGATTTAGTTTGTAGGCAAGCTTTGGACGCTTTGGTGAGTTTTTAACAAGTTAAAATACGAAAAGTTATTTATTATTAAATTTTGATTTTCAGAATGGATATTGGCTTATATGCTTTTTCATCGCAATGTCGGTTACCGTCGCAATACCAGTTGTGAAAAATTTGAAAATATTTCATAAGTCTCCGCTAACTTCTATGTCACTTTATACTATACCTCCACCACCGGCTATGGAACTTATGTGCACGAATAGTTAATTTTCAAAACGGCAAACGTTTATCAAGTAAAAATATTATGTTAGATTATGTAAAAGTTGAATAAATAATGTATTAGCTCAGATCAATCTATATATAATATATAAAAAATATTTTGAAACGACTATCTTCATCATATAATATCAATCCTACGATTTGTAAACCTATAATGATTAATATAATATTGTAATATGTTTTGATTAGATTTTTTTAATATTTTTAATATTAATAAAATATAAAATTAGGTATTATAAATCTAATATATTATATAATATAGAAGCTATTAATACGAGGCTATKGCAATCTATAGTTTGAAATGCCAACCTGTTTTTATAAATTGTGTTAAATTAAATTGTATTTACTGGCATATGATGATAATATAAAGGAGTTAAAGTTTATATTACAGCATCGTACACTCGGTGACAAGCAATTATTTTATCAAACTTTGTAAGTATAATTATTAGAGAGATATAATTTAATAAGCTACCTAGCTACTGTATTGTTTGTTATTCCTGGCACCACACCATTTATATTTATCGCACCGCTGTGCCGCTAAGCAATCTGTCGGCAGTCTTTAATCTAAAAATTCGAAATTTATAATTGATATTTCTCTGTACCTCTTGCGCCTGGTTAAATATAATACAGTAACGCGTAAACAATTTGTAGAAAAAATAAGATCTTTGTTTGAATTTTAAATTGTATTGTACACATTTTTATAACGTATTATCGTATTATTGACAGTCAACAAGTCAACTATTACCTTTATTATAGCTTTTATARATATATTGAATATGCTGTGTYAAGCGCAATCCTTCTTTTGATGTACCTATTTTAAATTATCATTAAAAGTTCATCTTGATGAGTCATCCTCTCAATATTTAATAATGGTAGGCATTAAATTTTTATAACARCAACTAAATGTGAGACAACTGTTGACAATTATCTAGAAAATGAGGTTAATTAACGATCTCAGAAAAATTGTTTTATCTTTAGTTTTAATTATTAACTATGCTACAGCAAACTTACTATAAACAATAAACTATTTTATTTTTTTTATTTTTTTTTTTTTTAGTATCCCGCGGCAACTAAGGCCATTGGAAAGGGGTACTGTAAGTTCTTATGGAACTGTAGATTGGTTTTACACGTGGGTGAGAATTTTGGCAGAATTTCTATTGGGGCACCCGTAGGTTTCTGCCATGACCCGGAGTGGGGGAGTAAATTGCCCTATTATAAAACTTTATGTTACGAACATTATCTGTGTTTGTTTGTTGTTTTTTACGATAGTTCAATTTGTAGCTAGTTATTCGTTTATAAATAAGCGTAAATTAAAAATGAWCATAACTCAATTAAAAACTTAGTTACCTATCGTAAAAAAACCAACATACAAACACAGATAATGTTCTTATTAACATCAAGTTTCATAATAGGTCGATTCACTCTTATTTTTAAACTAACGGAGCTAAACACGTGATTTGCTGAGCGTAAATTTGCCATGTTGTGCACTTGTAAGACGGAGACAACAAATGGTTGTGTAGCGTCCTCTTAACGTAAACTAATAATCATTCCTATACCGGACCATACTTTTTATTTAGATAATAGGAATACTTTATTTTATTCATTCAATGAGATCTTAGAAGATAACGAAGAATGTATTTTAAAGGTTACGTCTTTTTTTTTTTTTTAATGCACAGTATAATAAGACGCTTTAATGGAAGGTGAAGTGATATGAAATATTATACAAGAGTTGAGAGAGAGTACACATGTCAAAATAATAAAATAACTTATGATTTATATAAACGCGGTGTAATAAAGTTGAAGCTGGGACTGTTAAGACCGTTGTACYAAAAACTAGAAAGAAACTATTCTTTTGATATTTTTATTTATTATTACATGATACTGTGATAGTGATATATTTCTTTGTATAGGTTACAAAACACTGTTGTAACTATTGCAACGGAGAATCACTGAAGTGTAAAATATCAACAATTAAAATATTATATAATGCCTACATAAAAATAAATGTTCGAATGACTAAAAGGTAAGTCAGCTGAAGGTAAATATATATTTATACAATTTATTATTTTATTTAAATTAATACCAAAAATACTACTGGGACTCTCTAAGAAAACTCGTGTGGTGGCCCAAGGAAATATTAGAAAGGTGTAGTAAATATAGTAGGTACTGATATAATATTAAAATATCGTATTTGATTCTTATATATATATATTACAAATTTACAAATTACTATAGTTTAATTTATATCTACAGCAAGTGCTGTACGACCATGACCAAATAAGAATGGAATAAAAAAAATAAATTAAACTGAAGAAATTGATTCCATTTATGAGATTAAAAAACGATTCTCGCTTTTATTATGATTATTTTWTATATTTGATGAATTTCACTATTAGTATCTTGACAACTAAAAGTTTGAGAAACAAATTGTTTGAATAACTCAGTTGTATGAATACAATGACACATATTTTTTTATTTTTTTTGTACATTATGTTATAAAAAAGTGTAATCTTATTGGTACGAGAAAATCTAACAAAAGAATTTTTGTTGTATCTATGATAAAAAATACTGTTTTTTTTTCAAATAATATAAACTGAACTAGTGTTTCTATAAAAACGCTAGAATAATAACTAGATTGTGCTTTAAAAGAAAAACTTCGTCACTGAAAGCGTTTTCTATCTTTTTATATCATCTTTAAAAAACGTTAAAATAAAATAGGTAGAATTTTGGAATAAAAGTAAACTTTGACTTTTAACACTTTTCTAGAGACTTTTTGATTCTAATCAGAATGGTAGAGGTCCAACATTTCACAACTAGAATACATTTTAATTATTACAATATAATATATTAGGTAATTATATTTATTATATTATATTATATTGTTAATAATAATTATTATAAAAATAAATAATTCRGGAGACAAGAGAATAATAATTTAATACCTACTTGTCACTCATTTCGTCATATTCAAAAAAACTAAATTGTAGTAGACTTATTTAACACTTTCATTATAATTAAAATAACCGGCATCTAAAAATATTGTGTTAATTACTAATAATAATAGCAATAAATAATTTATATTATTTTTGGATATTAATTAAAGGCAATATTTGTATGTATGTAATGGAATTACAGCCAAGTCTATATCGCTGTGATCGTTCTGAAATTTGTTACATAGGTCTTAAACCTTGCAGGGATATGCATACTATTAGCTAATTGTAATTAAAACGGCTTATTTTAAATTCWTACTTTTGGAATTATGAAATTTACAAAAAAATAAAAGAAACAAAGTGCTAAAAGAATTATTGATGAACGTAARCAAAATATAATTTCATAAAATCAATATAAGCGAAATGTTTGTGATAACTTCGTTTTAATAATGTTAGGTATGTACCATATAATTATTTTTATTATTATTCAAGTTTAAATTATTTTTATAATAAAATACAGGTAGGTAATACCTGTATAGTCATTACTTTCAACAACATTCATTTGGAATATTCGTTTCGACTTTTTATATAAGTATTTTAGACTCGAAAAGACGAAAACACAAGAGTGAAGTGAGCCGTGGGAAATATATTGGTTTTAAAATGTAGTTTTCTTTTTTTATGCTTATTCGAGAACATTTTTTTCAGATAGAAAAAGTGCTCAAAAAGTATTGTCTAGCATCCTCATCGTGTATCGAAAATCGAGTTTAGGCGTTACTTCGAAGTGGTCATTTTTCGATTTTTTCTAAAATGGTAATAATATTATATAAGTATTAAGAAAACTGAAAAACTATCGAMAACAACTACAACTGTCGAATATTTTGACGAAATGTCAGCAGTCCTGAGAAATAACCGACTTTTGTCCGAAATCATTTTTTTGGCATTTTGAATACTGGTGATGGTGATTTCKTGATTTATCATTGTTTTCAAATTTAATATCTGAACAAACACTATCCGATGCCAAGTTGAGAGTAACCTGCATAATATTCTATTATTTTAAACAGGTTCGTGAAAGATGTGAACCAAAAAAGTCGAAATAAATACGAAAAAGTGTCGTCAAAATTATACACAACATAATATGCGTGGCTCACATCTTGTGAAAAATTTAGCATTTTATTTGAAAAAAAGTAATGAATGTTCGTTTCATGATAAACAAAAATCAAATCCTTATAACTGGCTTACTATATAGTATTACCCATAGTATTATACATGTACATATTATACACGCTTCACTGTAAGTATTATTAATTCGTTATTAGTTGATTATAATAATAAGTTTTAGTAATAGTATGTTTCCGAAGATTCGTTGATAACTTATCAGTTATCATTTCATTTTATTTTGATTAAATGAGCTGTTTTCCCTATTAATATAATAATTCATTTAATTCAACATAATAATAGGTACCATCTTTATTTGCCAAAAACTGTGGTTTTATAATTGTTGAAATTGACTGTTGATAGTAGTAGGTAAAAACATTTGAAAACAGAGCATTAAGCTCGGATCTATCCTTACAGATATGCAAAAATTTTAAAGATTTTTAAGCTTATTAATACCAAAATTAATATCTACAGATCACATCAAAATTATATTCCTTCGGGGTTTGTTCAAAGCTTCCCAATAAATAGCTTTCAGTTAGTCTGATTTGTATTGATATTATCKCTTGAAGAATCATATACAGGTTAGGTATATATATATAGATATAATAGATTTTGTGACTAACAATTCTAATATATAATAGTAGTCGAACGAACCCAAAAATATTTTTTCTCGTTAGATTTGTTTTCAAGATTTATTGTTTAAAAAAGCTTAATGGTACTTTTAAATTTGTTTGTTTCCTCGTGTTGGTTTACATCTACGAATTCACATGCAATTACTTGTCTAGTGCAGGTACTTATATAGTTCAAACAAATTATTGAAATACATATAAAATAAWGTATATCATAGACTATATGAGTTGTATAAAATAATGTAAAAAAACATTTGTTAAACATAACTTTTATATTAAATTGTGTTACGTACTTACTTAAATTATTTAAAATAAAGTATCTAATTTAGTAATTTCAAATAAGTTTTTATTATTCTTT